CCCTCCGCGTGAACTTGAACATAAATTCCTGCACCAAGCGAAAGAGGCAGGCTCAGTGAGATGTGGTCTCCTGACTGCTCAGGGCTCCCCAGATATACAGACGCCGAGAGGGGCGCCTAACTGCACCCAGAAGTGAGGCCTAGGGTCAGGGCGTGCCCTGCACTCACACTGACCGCCCAGCCGCCGCCTGCAGTGGCCCCTCGGGGACCCGGCTCTGGGACCTGCCCCCGGCCCAGGCACCCTGGCACAAGGTTGGTGCCCTGGCTCAGCAGCCCAGGTGCCAGCTCCCCGACTCACAGGAAGCCTGGGCTCACCCAGCCCACTTCGTAGGCACCTGGGACAAACCTCAGCGCCCAGGGCGATCGTCCCTCTACCTACAGCCTCTAGCCCAGTGGTTCTCAACCTTCCTAATGCCTCGACCCTTTAATACAGTTCCTCATGTTGTGGTGACCCCCAATTTCATTGTTACAAATTGAACATAATTAAAGCATAGTGATTAATCACAAAAACAATATGTAATTATATATGTGTCTTCCGATGGTCTTAGGAGACCCCTGTGAAAGGGTCGTTCAACCCCCAAAGGGGTCACCACCCACAGGTTGAGAACCGCTGCTCTCGCCTTTTCTCTGAAGAAGGGATTATTATTCCATGCATCAGACAAGGGATTGTTAGATTCTCCGCCTTTCGCATCCCCACACCCTGCACCTGCCTCCCCACACACTGCACCCGACTCCGGCACAGCCCACAGACACCCTGTCTCTCCCATGTGTCTGTGGATAAAACCGTTTTGGAGGTGACACAAGAGCTCAGGTCCCAGTTGGACTAGGAGATGAGATGTGATTTCTTAGGGGCACTGGTCACTTGTCATTCTTACATGACAATACCGAGCTGAGCTCAGCAACGCTGCCTGCGGCGACATAGCTGGCCCTGACCAGAGCCGTGGACACGCCACCCCTGGGCCTGCAGACCCTGAGGGGCCCGTCTGCACACGCTGGCTGTGCGGCGGCTCGGGGGGCTCTGGAAACATGTCACCGAGTCCCAGGGCGGGGTCTCCGAGGCCCCCCCCCACCCAGCGCTCACCAGCTCCTTGGGGCTCTGAATCACCGCCAGCGCCGCCTCGTGGGTGTGGCAGTACTGCCGGCCGGTGTTCCAGTCCCTCGGCTCCTCGGAGAAGAAGTAGCACTTCCTGCCGTAGAGCAGCCAGTCCTCGGGACAGGGCGCCTCACACTTGATGCAGCCCTTGGAAGCTGCGGGAAGAGAGGGGTCAGCATCACAGCGCGCCCGGCCCGCATAACCCCCCGCTGCCCCCGCGGCTCCCCCCACCGGCCCCGCCTGGGTGCCCCGCACTGACATGGCTCAGGTGAGCACCTCACAGCGCCTGGCAGGGAGAAGGTGGGTGGCTAAAGGCAGCAGGAAGAGGAATTTGGGAGGTCTGCGGGACACCAGGGGGGACGTGGCAGGTTAGCTCCTGGGTTAAGACCACCTCTCTCTCTCTGACCTCTTCAGGGCATGGGACCCCAGACACTCCGATTCAGAAGGGACGCGGAGGCCACGGACGCGTCCTCTCTCCAGCCTGGGCGGCACCCACCCGCAGGCTCGGTGGGCCCTGGCCAGGCCCCATGAGCTAACGGGGCAGCCCTTCCCCACTGACTGCTGGAAGCGCTTCTCCGGTTCTGAGTTCCCACCTGCCCTCCCGTGACCTAGACCTGCTGGCCCGCGATCTGCCTCTGGGGTGACCCAGAGCAACGCCGGTCGCCCGAGCGCCCACTTGAAGGACAGCAGCCTCCCTCTCGAGGCTTAAACAGACATGGCCTCTCCTCCAGACCCTTCTCCATCCTGCCTGGCTCACCACAGGATGCCCGCATCGTCACAACGCTGCCTCCCATCAGACAGGAAGTCGGATGGGCCCCGCCCCCAGCCACAGGGATCACCGATCACCACGCTGCCTTCCAGCTGCTGTGGGCTCCCGGCCTGCAGACCCGTCAGAGAGGAGTCTGGGGGCGTGTGCACACGCGCGCACTGTTCTGGGAAGGAAGCCCAGAGCGACCGTCAGTCTCAAAGGGCCTCCTTGCCAAGAGGAATGAAGCCATGCGCTGATCGTTTTCATATGATCTCTCTCCAAGTGGGGTCTCCCCAGTGGCCAGAACACGTATAAATCAATTTCAAACCCAAATGAAGGGTCTTACATGTATTTCTCCCATGTTTATCTCGTTCATGTTAGCTCCTCTGAGTTTTTAAAGATACACATTAATCTTGATTTCTTTTCTGGTCTGTCACATTCAACATCCCTCTTTGGATTGTATCACCTACACATTCTATAAGCATATATTCTGTTTGTTTTCATACAAGTGATTGATGAAACGTAGACCAGACAGAGCCAAGACAGGCCGATGGCGCTCCAGCCCGCGGGGACCCCAGCCACGCGGACACCGGTTAACCAGCGCGCACTGCACACCCGCTCCGTGCGCTGCAGGTCACCTCGGGACTACTGGCCCTGGTGTGGCTGCATGTCTGCTGCTTCTCCACAAGGATCTCTGAGGAGACTTCACTGAAATCACACTGTGCTACTTTACACATTTCCCTGACCCCCCAGCAAGACAAGAGGAGCCTGATTTAATTTGTAGTAACTATTCCAGGTGAACCAAGCTGCCGCCAGCGGTCACCAGGCCCTTCTCTAAACACACCTCCCTGCTTACCATGCACACCTGGAGGCGAGGGTTTGCCAAGGGCTGGTGTTATCAGTGGGTTTTTTTGCCCACTTGGAGGTGCCCACCTCTGGCTTTACGGTGCGTCTCAAAGATTAAAGACAAATCACTTTGCAAACCCTTCTGGCCCCACGACATACGTTGCCTTGAGTCCATTAAAAGCAGCCAAATTCCCTGGTGGCTGCCATAGTGACAGGGCCGTTGGTCTTCATCCCTCCCCTCTCAGGCCCCACCCCCTGGGCTGTTCTGCTCCCTCTGCTTCCTGGAGGGAGGCCCCATTCATTCATCAGGGTCTGGCACCCGTGTTTCCCCCTCTGGGAAGCTCCCCCACACCCCCCCCATACCCCAGGCAGGAACACCTCTATATTTGCACAAGGGAGATAACAAACATCTTTTTTTAAATCCCTAGTACTTCGCCCAGGGCCTAGCACACAGCAGGCTCTATAAATGTCCCCTGAATGAATGAATGTGATCTTTAAAGGCCCTTGTCCCAAACTCATCTCCAAGAAGCACTGCCCGCCTAACCCCCCTGGAGTTCGCTCTGAGTCCTCATGGCATCTCCACTTTCCCCGCATCGCTTAGTAAAGGGGACTTGTAGAGTCGATGTGTGAAAAGAGTATTTTAAGCTTAAATCACCTCTAGAACTAACACTGGGTTTGCTATTCACTTTGTCCCCCATAGAATTCGTGGTACACCGGGAACTTCTCTTGACCTGCTTAGACACGCCTCGGAGGAGGTGGTACACTGAACCGCATAAATGCCCCGACATCCATGCTCACCCAAGATGCTCATCACCACCAGGATGGCGAACAGGAGGACGGCAATGGCTCCGAGCAGGAGACGGGTGGTGGTGTCTGAGGAGAAGAAAAAGGGTTCGATTCCAGGCCACCCACTCACCACCAATCGCCACAGCCAGCCCCACGTCCCAGGAGTGAGGAACTCATGTGGGGCCAGCCGTCTGGGCGGTCACAAGCGCTCCCGGTGATTCTGATCTCACTCAGGCCTGAGAGGGGCTGTTCCAGAGCCCAGCCCTGACTCCCACGTTCCCCTCCCTCCAGAGCTCCGCACCTGAACTCCTCCTGTGGCCCGCAGAGTTTTTTGTGGGGTTTTTTTTAACATATTTTTATTGATTGCAGAGAGGAAGGGAGAGAGAGAGAGAAACATTAATGATGACAGAAAATCATCAATTGGCTGCCTCCAGCACACCCCCGACTGGGGATTGAGCCCGCAACCTGGGCATGTGCCCTAACTGGAAATCGAACTGTGACTTTCTGATTCATAGGTCAATAGAGCTTTCTAAGCTTTAATTTCTTGCTGTTTCTCTATGTCCCTGTTCAGCCACACAGACTCATTGAAATGGCCCAGCCCACCCTCCCAGCCCTGCGCCTGGGTCCTTTGCTCCCAAAACTCTGCTCCCCCAAGGCGAGGTCCTGAAATCTGCCCACGTCTACACCTTCAACCCTCTTTTTCTAAAAAAAAAATATGTTTTTATTGATTCCAGGGAAAGAAACATCGATGAGAGAGAAACATGGATGGGCTGCCTCCTGCACGCCCCCCACTGGGGATCGAGCCCACAACCAGGGCATGTGCCCTGAGGGGGAATTGAACCAGAGACCTCTTAGTTTATCGGTTGACGCTCAACCACTGAGCCACACTGGCCAAGCATACATCCTCTGCCCTCTTGACAAAACCTTTCCTGATCCTCTGGCTTCTCCCTTTAAAAACAATTTTGTATTTTTTACCACTTAAATTTTTCTTTTATATTTAATGAAAGAAGCATTTTAGACTTTAAACATAGGGTCTTTTAAAGTTTATTTATTGTGATAAAACATACATAACATAAAAAATGCCATTTTAACAATTTTTAAGTGTACAATTAGTGGCATTAATTGCATACCCAATAGTGTGCAACCATCCCCACTGTCCGTTTGCAAAAGTTTTCCATCACCACAAACAGAAACTCTGTACCAATTAAGCATTAACTCCCCATTCCCACCTCCCCCAGAGCCTGGTAACCTCTAACCTACTTTCCATCTCTGAATTTGACTATTCTAGATATTTCATTTAAGTAGAAACATACAATATTTGTTCTTTTGTGTCTGACTTATTTAATACTGCATAATGCCCTAACCAGTTTGGCTCAGTGGATAGAGCGTCGGCCTGTGGACTCAAGGGTCCCAGGTTCGATTCCAGTCAAGGGCATGTACCTTGGTTGCGGACACATCCCCAGTGGGGAGTGTGCAGGAGGCAGCTGATCGATGTTTCTCTCTCATTGATGTTTCTAACTCTCTATCACTCTCCCTTCCTCTCTGTAAAAAAATCAATAAAATATATTTAAAAAAAAAATACTGCATAATGATTTCAAGATTCATCCATGTTGTAGCATCCATGTTGTAGCAGAATTTCGTTCTTTTTTATGGCTGAATAATAGTCTATTGTATGAATATATACACTTTGTTTATCCATTTATTTGTTGATTGACACTTGGGTTGTTTCCACTTTTTGTCTATTATGAATAATGCTGCAATAAACATTGACATACAAGTATCTGCTTGAGTGCTGTGTTTTCAGTTCTTGATGTAAACACTTAGGGAGCAGCATCGCGAGGTCATAGGGTGAGTTTATGGGTAACTTCTTGAGGAACCACCTGACGGTTTTCACAGAGGCTGCGCCATATAACTTAGTCACCAGCAATGCAAAAGTGTCCTAGTGTCTCCACCACATTGCCTACACTTGTCAGTATCCTTTTCTTCTTTAAATATATTTTATTGATTTTTTACAGAGAGGAAGGGAGAGGGATAGAGAGTTAGAAACATCGATGAGAGAGAATCATCGATCAGCTGCCTCCTGCACACCTCCCACTGGGGATGTGCCCGCAACCAATGTACATGCCCTTGACCGGAATCGAACCTGGGACCTTTCAGTCCTCAGGCTGACACTCTATCCACTGAGCCAAACCGGTTAGGGCTAGTTTCCTTTTTTATTATTATTATTATAGCCATCCTAGTAGTGAGAACTCCCTTTTTTATTTTAAGCAATTTTTTAAAACCAAAGGTATGAATGAACATAGCTGGAAGCAGCACCTCCACAGATGGGTGCTGGTCTGTACACCATGATTCCTCCATGATGAGCTGAGCACCAAAACTGAGAAGCATCTAGAACTTTCACAGCAGTTTAACATGCCGTGACACCCCAGGCAGGGTCATGTTTCCAGTAATTCACTTGTGTTGTCCTTACAAAGGCTTGAGAAATGCTGGGCCTCCCGGACCAATGTTTTGTTTCTCTCTCTTCTCCCTCTCCCGTATCCAATATCTATCTCTTTGCCTTCTTGCTCTATTTCCTGGAAGATTTTTTTCAACTTTACCTTCCTACCCTTGGTTGAATTTTTTCATTTCTACGATTATTTTCAATCTCCAGAGTTTTTTGTTTGTTTGTTTTTGGCTTAGAGGCTGCTGTTCTCTGAATATTCCTCTTAAAACACCCTGTTCTTGTTTTAGTGATGCAACCCTTCCTCTCAGCTGTCTGCGGGTATCACTGGGGAGGTGGGGGGAGTAGAAAGTCGCTGTGTCCTCCAACTTGTTTTTTTTCTGCTTATTAGAGCCCTGGTCATTCGTTCCTGGGTAAGGCAGGAGGACTAGAGAGTTCACCGGGGTCCCTGAGACCATGGGAGGGGCTTGGTAACTGTGTGTTGGGGGGCGGGGGGCGGGGGGGTCACAGCAGCTGGTCCAGCTGGGCTGACCCTCCAGGTCTGCACTGACCTCCTTGGGCTTCTTCCTCTCGGGTGGGTCGGTCCCTGGAGAAGGCTTTTCTGTTTTCTCTCTGGAGGGGCTTGGTCAGGAGCTGCGACTGGGAGGCTGCCCTGCACATTCGCTATGTAAACGTCACCGTAATTGCTTGTTCTCTAATGTGTTGGTGTTAGAGACCCTCTCCCCCCAGACTTGCCCTCGGCTCCTGCCGGGCTGGGAAGCTGTACAGAGTGGGCCAGGGCTGGGGGTCTAAATCCTCCTAAAGGAATGATCCACAGTCCTGTTTCCAACCACCGCCGATGACCATGCCCCCGTCCCTGGGTCACTTGGGTGGGTCCTCTGCCGGTGGAGTCAGGTCCCTCTCGTTGCTCCCCAGCTCCCAAGTGTACTGCTATCGTGGCCTCTCCGGTTCCCGTGGGCCTTGTGGCCTTTTGAACATTCCTTTACTGCCGTAGGAGCGGGCTTCAGAAAGGAGAGAGAGTAAATGCACGTGTTCAGGCTGCCACCTTCATCTGAAAGTCCAACAAACATTTTGGAGTCCTTCCTATGAGCAAGGTTGACGCTGGCAGGTGACCAGGAGTCCAGAGGCGGGGGGCTCCAGGCTCGGTGAGAGGGCTGGGCTTTCTGTGTCTGCTCTGTATCCCCACAGGCAGCCCGGCGTCGGGCGGCTCCCCCTGCAGGACAGCTGCCTGTATGTATCCTGCCTCTCCACCCTCTTCCCTAACACTGGCTGTGTAACCCTTTGTGCATGGAGGATCAGAGCAGGGTGTCTTAACCCACCTTGCCTGGGTTCAAATCCCGGCTCTGCCACTTTCTAGATGACTGAGTAGCTTGGCAAAGTTACTTTGCTTCTATTTACTTCATTTTCCTCATCTTTAAAAATGAATAGTAGTATCTGCCTCTTAGGATTTTATGAGAATTCAATGTATGGCACATAGAACAATGTCTGATATGGAAGCTACTTCAGTGGTCAGAGATATGATGATGATGATGGTGATGATGGTGATGATGGTGATGATGATGATGATGGTGGTGGTGGTGGTGGTGGTGGTGGTGGTGGTGATGGTGGTGGTGGTGGTGATGATGGTGGTGGTGATAGTGGTGGTGGTGATAGTGGTGGTGGTGGTGGTGGTGATGGTGGTGGTGGTGGTGGTGGTGATGGTGGTGGTGATGGTGGTGATGTTGGTGGTGATGGTGGTGGTGGTGAT